TTCCTCTCCCTTCCTCTCCTTCTCCCTCTCCCTCTTTCCATCCCCTGATCCCCAATTTGCCAGTACAAGTGTGTGTAGAGGAAGTAAAATAGAGAGGAAAAGTAAGATAGAGGGGAAAAGGGGTGGGATACAATTAGAGATCTGGGTGTTTGTCCCTTTAAAAAAAGGTGACAAAGTGGTTAATGCCTTTGCAGGTTGGTGTTGATATCGGGAATCTCAGTGCCACAGTCCAAATAGAGTACTAATTACTGCGAATGATGTCACCGTAGGCAGAGGAATAATCCCATCATTTAATTAGTTGAATGATTTAAACAAAGATTTGCATAGATGCACTAATCAGTTGCCATGAATTACAGAGCAGCAGTTGCCAGCGAGGGGTAACAGATCATACAGTTGGAGGGAAAAAAAAAATCTCATCTCCTTGAACATAATTAATTTAATTGTCCTCATTAGCTGTACCATTTGTTTTGATTTTATTTCTCCCTTTCCCCACACATACTTCCCCCTCCCTCCCTCTTCTGCTCAGTGCATTGGCTGGGAGAGAGCACACGAGACACACACACACACACACACACACACACTGGGGTGTTTCCAGAGTGGCTCTAGCAGAGAGGTGGGTAGTTCAGCGGGGAGCCGTGCGGATGGGTGAGGTGCATGTGCGCCTGTGTAGACGGACCAGAAAAGCCAAACTTAAGAAATCTGCTTATATGCAGAACAAACCAACTGAAGGGGTCCTTACTAATCTGTCGCCTGTGAATTTCGTTATTTTTCAGGTTAGTTCTAAGTTTTCTTGCCTTTTAAAGGGAGAGGAGAGCAAGCCACATATGATTTTCTTATGGGCCTTCAAAAGGGAGGGGGTCAAAAATAAGTTATCAGTGCTGGACCGATAATCTTCAGGCAGATGAGCATAATTTAGCTTCAATAGTCACAGGGTCTGCTTTGCTTTAAAAAAAAAACAAAACAGAACTAGACTAAAACTGATGATGTAGGGAAGGAAAAAGTTTGTTGTAGTTTAACAATTGAGTCTTTCTTGCCTCTTAAAACAGGACGGCCAGTGTCATTCAAATGCGCACTATTTTTGAGCTTGACCTTTGACAAGGCTTTGTAAAATCCAGTGAGGGGGACTTTAAGGGCTGGAAAAAGACAGGAAGAGTGAAGTTGGAAAACTTAGAAAAGCAGTAAGATATGCTACAGCTACCAATGGCCTTTACAGATGCAAAGTGATGAAGAGAGGAGATGAAGGAAAATAAGACCTCTTTCAAGAAAAAGAAATCGGCAAAGGCCCTTTGTGAAAACAGGATGGTAATGGTGGGAGAGACTAGGGTTCTTTAACCTTGTTAGCCCTGAAAATACAGTTTTCAGGGCTCTTGAGTGCTTTTCGTTTAAGCACATAAGTTTTAAATAGCGAGGAGTTCAAGTAATGGCAGGAAGTGTGTTTCGGGGTGGAGGTGGGGGTTCAGCATTGGTTAGTGGGGAACAAGTTCACAGTTTGGTTCTGGGCAATTAGAGGGGAGGAAGAGGAGTGTCCGTCCTCGCTGGACCTGGCTTGCGTAGCAAACTTATGGAGCAGAATTCAGAGCTCCCTTGAAGGGAAGACAGAGACTGGACAACTGCAGGCCCCCTCCTGCCCACCGCCCCCCCCCCGGTTTCTTAAAAGGCAGGAGTGGGTGCTTTGGCCAGTGTATTCTATAGCAGTTTTGAGTCCCTTGCTTTTAATTTGTATAATTGGTCGCACCAGAAATGGCTTTAGAGGGCAATTTGCTTTAACTGTGGCCATCTATTCCAAAATGCCCCAATTATTTTAGGAACCCTACCCTTTTCTTCCGGAGCTCTTTCCGCAGGAGTTCTTTTGGACGGGTCCAGGAGGTAGGGTCTTTCCCAGTCGACTCCCCGCAGAGGTCACATTTTGTGCGCGGGGTCATCCCCAGCGTCTGTGAGGAGCATATGTATGCGGTTGTGCTGACTGCACTCAGAGGCTTGTAAATTTTCACCCTGGGAAATTAGCAACAAAGCCCGATCTGTCTCGTGGTTGCTTTGCACTTTCCTTCCGAGGGCGGCTGTACTTGACTGAGCTGCAGAACAGGAACGCAAAAGCGAGCGAGAGGGTGGGGGGGGTGCAGAGAGAGAGAGAGAGAGAGAGAGAGAGAGAGAGAGAGAGAGGAGGGGTGGGGGCGAGAGGTAAATAGTCTTAAATCGGAAGGGAGCTGCTTCTCTGTGGTCTTGACAAGCGCTGCCTGGGCTCCGCCGGCTCAGTAATAACTGAGTGACCTTTTCTTTGGCTGTATTATGTCTGGCTGGGAAGGGATTGCGTTTTGCAGCTGAGAGCTGGGGCTTCCTCCAGCTCGGCTCCAAGCGCGCTGCTGGGGTTTAGTTGTCTTGAGCCTGGACGGAGGGAGACAGCTTCGGACTGCAGTTCCCTAAAAGGAGGACACCTGTGGCTCAGATGCGGTCAACACCGTTACTTGGCGGATCCTGGAGGACCTCATTATTTTAAACTTAAAAAATAGCGATTCTCTCCCCCCTCCTTCTTTTTTTCAAACAATGCTTCTTTTTGACCTTTCCCAAGGAGAAGCGCTACAAAGCAGCCACTGTGCTCACTGAACGGCCTCCCCCTGTATTGCTTAATTGAGAAGGTAAGTGTAGCAACTGTGTACACACGCGGCGGCTTATTTGTGATGTGTGTGTGTGTGCGCGCGCGTGTGTGTGTGTGTCTGAGGGTGCGCGCGTGCGTGTGCGGATGTGGGTATTTTTTTTTCCCCCTTCCGAGCCTCTCTCCTAATGAGGCATAAACTGGAGCTGCAATCCAGCTCGGCACTGCAACTTTCACTCGGGCTGCGTCTCTACTGAGACGGTTTTGTTTAAATCATGTGAGGCTTCATTATTTTTATGATGAGACATGAAATAGATGCAGGCGGAAGATGTTAGTGGAAGCAGGGCGAGCGGCTGCAGCGCGGAACCTCTCAAGTAGGACTCGGTGGATAATAGTCAAAGTTCACCAGAAGCCGCAGCATTTAGGCGTGACTCCCGGGGACAGAGGACAGGGAGAGTTTGCAAGTGGGCAGTTTGGTTTTCCAGCCCGTGGGAAGTGAATTCGGTTCCGGGTGTGCAGTGGGACCCCCCCATCCGTACTTCCTCCAGTCTATGCCCCCACGCGAGAGTTGAAATTATCACCTTCCGATGCTTGTGGACACTCCGCCTCTTCCCCCTACAGCCACAATGACACAGTGTTCTGTCGTGCTGGAAAAGTGGACTGTGTTGTTGGGGGGGGGGTAAGAAGCGGCCAGAGGAGAGAGGTTCCGTGGAACCAGGCGCCCATGTGCTAATAGGTTGGGATTCCAACTGAGGCAGCGCATTTGTACGGGGGCTACTCAGACCGCTGTTATGAAATACGAGTCAGATTTATGATCTTTTTCATATTGAACATGATATGCTATGCTAACGCTGCATGTGACAGTTTAATCAAATCCATTTGTTACCAGGAAGCTAAAAAGGGCCGCTGGGATTTTAGGATTGCGGGCAGAGTTAGGGAAGCATGTGGCTTTGTCATTCGCCATCATTCTGCACACCGCCACACTGCGAGGGGCTCCGTTTGTGCGCTGTGTCTTGTCTGACCGCCCTCATCCCTTCCCCCACCCCCTGCCTCCACCCGGACCCTCTCCCAAAGTGGGCTTCTCTGCAGTCGGTCCTCGGTGGTGTAGGCTGCGCACCAGGTCCACGCTTGAGCCGAACCGAGGAGACACTCTTGTACTTCTACCTCTGGGCTTGGTGCTCAATGCGAAGCTGCTGCAACTCAGGCACGCCTAAGTCAACTCATGCAGAAAAGGGAGAAAAGTTTTGGTAAGGTTATGATCTATCACAGATGCACTTTGCCGGCGCTCTGCGCTGGCGGCTGCTGGAAAGCCTGCCTGCTCTTCTGCTGCTTTCGTGCCTTTCTAAAAGATCCAAAATATTATTGTGGTAACTGCTTTGAAAGACTGCTGCTTAAACCAATTAATCTCGCTAGGTGCAACAAATACTGCTACTCTCTTTGCGAACCACCCCTGTGTGGCTGCAAAGACACAACCACAAAAGGCTGGAGCACAAACTCCGCAAGGGATTCTTTGTTAGAGTGTATGTATGTTTCTTATTTTTTTTTTTTTTTATTTTGCATGTGAGCTGCATCAAAATTGAACTCAGTCTTGCAAATCTCTTGTTGGCCTTTGCCAAGCACTAGCACTTTGCTGCCATGGTAACTGTAATTAAACTGATAAGAGTGGAAAAATGTCAGTATCTCTGAGCCTTGCAGCTGCATTGGAGAAAAAGGGAATCAAATTGGTTCCCAGCTCCATTGCTCAAAAGGGGTGTGGGGGGGGGCTACAGGCTAGGGAGGGGGGCTGGGAGTTGAAGGGGCAGAACAGAGTTAAACAGCTCCAGTGCCAGAGATCTGGGGACATCTATTTGCATTGTTGTCCCTTAGGGGGCTGCAGCCTGTAGGGATGCTTTGGGCCAGTGAACAGAGAGAAACAAGCTTTTAGGCCCAATCCAGTTTTCCAATCCGGCTGCAGGGGGGGTGGGGGAGTAGGAGGAAGAAGATGGGCAGGAGGAGAGAAAATCTTTTGTTTGGTACCTCTTGGCAATCGAATAGCTGTGTTGGCCAAATTCTTTTAATCTGTGCCACTGCTCCCAGCTGCAGAACCTGCGTTCCCGTTTTAGTATCTTTGGGAGGTACCTCGTCTCTCCCAGAGTCTCTTTTATGTGTCCCTCTTCCTGTTCCTTCTCCCAAATTGTGGATCTTCCCACAGGGACAAAATGATTTGCACTCACTCTGTGTAGTTAGTCCAAAAAGATAAAAGACTGTGTTGACGTGCTGCAGATCTTTTATGATTATTGTTATTATTATTATTACCATTATTATTTTTAAACCCCTCTGTGTTGTGGAGTTGTGGTTACTTTGTTGTGTTAACTACTGAAGCTTTGCCTGCGCGGATGAATGGCACAGAACAAGGGAACATAATGGAAGCAATCAGCCGTTAGGCTTCCTCACAATGCAATCCAGGCAATTAAAAGCTCACCAGAGTTTAAATGAAATGGTTCTACTTATTTCTGCACACCACACTGCACAGGCTATTATTTATGTCTTTTTTTTAATTATGATTTCCCTTAAACTGTCAAATAACTCAGAATGGCAGGGTCTCAGAGGCAACAAGAATTTCCCTCAGAACAATTTACATGCCAATCTAAAACTAGTTATGAGTCTTGATGTGCTATGAGCAACTTGTGCAATGTTTCTCAGCTACGCACACATAACTCTACCCAGACATGTCCTTCTGCATGATGACGGGAGCCCCCTGACTGCTTTCTGCCTTTTAGGTGCATGGCAATGTGGTGACTACAAAATAGTTCTTTTTCCGCAACTGTTAACTTGCACAGCATTGTAAAGATTCCATTTCCAAGAGAAACGTGATGATATTCTCCAAAAGAAGATAGAGGGTAGAGTGTAAAATACTAAACTCCTTTTATATGCCCAAGGCCGAACAGAATGTAAGAGTTTCAAATATTAATTGGCCTCTGAGTGCTAAATTAAAATGTCAACACAACAAAAAACATTCTGTGAAGACATGCAGGTTAGTGTTACTTGTGGCAAATGTTAGCATCACCTGTTTTAGTTGCAAAGCATTTTGAATAAAGATAGCTAACCTTCTACACTTGGTAATTGTAACACAACTGCAGGAAATACTTTAGCTACTTCCTTTGCTATAGTTTAGCTGCCAGTAAGAAGGATTTTTCTTAATTTTTTTCTATGATTTAAAAAATAATCTTCGAAATGAGATAATTCAAGTAGCTACTCTTACTATATCTCTGGGCGTTAATAACAAAATCCCTAATGTCATTTGTTAAATCAAAATTTCCTTCTCTTCCCTAGGTACACGGTTAAGAGGTACTTGGGTCTGTTGTGTACTGTAATTTATGGGATTCATTCCTTGTGAAACCCTAGTAGAAAAGGATAACTAGTTCTGATCAAAGAAACTTCATTTGTTAGAAGTTCTGGAGAGTGAGATTTAGCAGAGCTATCAAGGGTTATGATTAATCTACACTAGGCCCTTAGCTCCTTCAAAGAAAAAGAACAGAAAGCAGACTATAGGGATACCACCTGCTCTTCTGTACAAATCCAGCTGCTAGTCTGCAGCCCTGGCGACCCCAGCTATGCATACCATGCAGAAAGAACAGCACCCAGCTTCTTTTCCTGCCGTTCTCTACTCCAGCTCTCTGCCAGACAAGTTACTTTCTAATGAAAGTTCAACATCATAATATTATTATGTGCAATTCATGTATTATTTGTAGCTTTAAAACTTTTTCAGCTGCCAGGATAACTGGATACCTCTTACTGGTTTCATTTTTAACAGGAGTGCTATGAAGGTAATGGGGGTAAAGACTTCATCACAAAATGTCAGAGGAAATGAGGAGTTAGCTATTGTGGAGAAGAGAGATGCATAAAAAATGTAGAATATGAGAGCTTTGTGGTTTTTTCCTTGAAACTCTTTTAGATGCAGGCATATTTAGTGTTTTATATCCTTTTACATCCCAGTTTAAAACTTTATGCCTAAGAGAGGCTGCAGAGTAGACCAGAGGGATCTCTGGATTGCAAAAAGGCCACTTGGCCCCAAATCCACACTTAAATATCCTTTAGCTTTGAGGCAGTGCCTTAACATCTCTGGGACTCTGCATTATAATTTGGAAAATGAGGGAATTTGAAATTGATGATGTCTGCAGTATTTTATAGTGCTTAAAATGAGTTATTTGATAAAGATGAAGCTTTGAGTAGTTGGGACAGCTTTCTTTTTTAAAGCTGAGTCTTTGACGCTTAGAAAATAAGAAACTCAAACACAAATACCCATTGAAATAATCTCACTGAAGTTATAAAACACAGAACCCAACTACACTCTTTATTCATGACAGAGATACAGCTTTAAAATTATTATTGTTCTACATCAAATACAGTATTATATACCTGCTATATATATTTATGTGTGATTATGTAATTTTATTTATATTGCACTAGCCTTCTATTTTTTCACCTTTCCCCTGTAAAATAATAAGTGCATGCTTATAGCAATAAATTGTATAATCCTGTACTTTAGTTTCATATAAAAGCCTATAGTATATAGGTAAGTATTGAGCCATTAATAGAGGCATTGGTTGATGATTGTGAGCATGAATATTTGTTATTTTAATAATGAATACTTTGAAATATCTAGGACACATAAAGAAGTCTTTGAATGCAAACAGGCAATATAGGATTGCTAAGCTTTTGGGTGGCTGTGGTGTGTATGTAATTATAAACATCTGTACTGCTACGTGAAGTTCATGTAATCCCATACAGGGTGTACTTTTCTTCTCCCATGAAGCACATATGAAGTGAAATTTTTAACCAGTCAAACAAAACTTTGACTCCTTTAGACTATGTATGATCACTTTGTTAAACAGCTGTCTTTTCAGACTGTTAGCAATTTATTCATTTTTCTTTCTAAAGGAACTGCTCTATGTGGAGAGCAAGAACACTGCAAAATGATTTAGTGTTATTTAACCCTACGTTTAGAATGTGAACTTGCCATATACAACACAAATTCATTATTATTACCACTTTATATGTATGACTTCACCAATGATTTAGTAGGGATTTTATAGTTTGAGACTTTTTGCTTTCAAAATTTACTTCGACTTCAGTACATCCATGCCTAAAAAAGAAAATCCTATTTCTTTCCAGGAAAAGGCAATATTAAATATTTAACTTGTTGGAGATCTTCTGACATCTTTTCATTCTGTCTCCTGGTCTCAGCTCTCTTGTTTTGTTTCGTCTTCCTTCAGGTATACAAATGCTCTCAGTCCAGCCAGACACCAAGCCGAAAGGTTGTGCTGGCTGCAACCGAAAGATCAAGGACCGGTATCTTCTAAAGGCACTGGACAAATATTGGCATGAAGACTGCCTGAAGTGTGCCTGCTGTGACTGTCGTTTGGGAGAGGTGGGCTCCACCCTGTACACTAAAGCTAATCTTATCCTTTGTCGCAGAGACTATCTGAGGTAGGAATTATCCTTGCACACCAGTGATGACTGGATGCCTTTTAAAATACATTTGTAAGTGTATTTTTGCTTGCTTGTTTTATTTTCTTACTGCCAGCGTATGTTCCTGAAAGATGTTGCCCTGTCTGCCTTCAAAATGTGGTCCTGTGTGTGTTGCTCAAATTGCTACTTAAAGAATTGTCAGCAAGATTATTATCTTGATTGTTTCAGTTTAGCTCGCATGCAAACTCACATTCAATAGTTACTTCTTTTACCATTGATACTGAAACTGCCAATATTTGGTATAAATCAGTATACAAGTTTTGTTTGTTTTTCATTGGAGTATTAGAAGTAAGGTAGAGTGTGAATAATGCAAAGAAATGGCTAAATATTTTAACTATTTTTGCAAAGCTCAACTTCAGTTAGGTCTTTCTGATTGAGGTTTGTTAGAGGAAGTCAGTTTTAAATTCTTAACTGGTATTTGTTAATATAATCCAATTACTGCATGGTTTTGAAAACTTTCTTCAAGTATTAGTGTGTCTTCCTCCGTGGTATTTGAAACAGTCATTGCGAAGACTGTGTAACACTGAGCAGCCTCATATGTTCTGGTAGGAAATAACAAAGTAAAGACCTCTACCCTTATAGAGTAATGATAGCTGCACTCCAAAGTGTAAACCTCTGGACAATTTCAAGACAGTGCAGGCACTATTGGTGATGAAGCCGCAGAGTCAGCCAAACTTGTTTCCTAGCATTTTCCACACAGAACTTCTACTACAGAGAAATTATTTCGCTTCTCTGAGAACTTTGCGACTTGATTCAGATGCAAATTACTTATATTAATAAAGTAGGATCTATCAAATTAGAGAAATGATATATGACATCATTTGCAGTTTCATATTTGATACAATTAATCATTTTTCTTGCCTGCCATTAAGCTATTTATTTTGAATTTTTCCCCTTATGACACAAAATGTATCAATCAGCCGTTATTCCTTAACCATCTTAGTCAGTCTGGGAGGTGTTTTCTGGGGAAGTGGAGACTTCTTAGTCTATAATTCAGTTATTTAAAGTCAGATTTGATCTTTATATATAAAATGCATCTTTTGATTAATGGTGGTTACAAGAGGGTGAATCCAGTAGTTTATCAGATCCTACTTCCCTCCTCTCAGAACTGCCTCATGTGACAGCCTCCTGAATAATTATGACCACTTGTTACTACTTCTCTCTGTTCCAAGTGAGAAAAATGCATGCAGGGTGCCAACAATGGGAAGAGACTCTCACCAGCCAGGACTTCCCTCATTTTGGTGGCACAACTAATCAATCAGAGTTAACTCATAATGTGAATTCTTTCAGAACTCTCGGTCTTTGAACTGTTCTCTTTGAAATAAAAACTTTTCCTCTGCTCCTTGTGAACTGGAGCCTCATTTCCACATAAAGCTTTTGTATTTCACGATTTAACACCGATTTCTAGTCTTGCTTTATGTGTACTAAGCAATAGTCACAGCTTTTTGACCCCTTTTGACTTTTACATTTGCTTGCAATTTAAGCGGGCTAACATTGCAATTTCAAACAAGGAATTTATAAAGTCTGAATAAAGTTGTTAGTTTAATGAGCAAAAAAGGGCTAAGATTTAGAAGGAATCGTTTGAAATAGCTGGATTTTTTAAAATCAAAAAAATAAATTTGCCATGAAATGATTAGAACACGAGAGACACAGGTTTATGGTTATCAACATAGTAGTGAGCAGAATAAAGCAATGTTAGGTTTGTTATAGTCTTCCTGATGACGATTAAAATATGATATACAACTGGTTTTTGATAGTCTCGAGTATTTTGTTAAAGGGAATTAATCAAACCAGTTTTCATATCAGATATCTTTATCTAACAGAATGGGTGTTGCTTTCATGGTATGGCTTTTAGTTCATCTCTGCTAAGTTCCAACTTTTATTGCTAGTTAACTTATTACAAATATTTTATACTTTTTTAAAAATATAAACCCTGGTCCTGATTGCTAATATATTCATTTCTCAGAGTACAGTTTCCTCTTAATTGGTCGTTACCACATTAATGGCCAGTTGTTATGTTAACAGCCTAAGGGTTGTTAACATTTCAAACTAAGTTGTTCACAGTAAGCTTAGCCCTTATTTGGAACTCAAGGTTTGCTGTAGACGCTGTGACACCTCTGGCATCTTCATCAACACTTAAACTTTGTAGAAGTGAAATGGAGAATTGGTAGGTGTGTATTAAACACTGTGTCATGTGCCGTTGCTTATGCCACTGATGAGGTGTTTTAGTTTTATGTGGAAAGCGTGTGTCTGGATGAAATTGTATAGATGTTCAACAGCATGTGTCTCTGACATATTAAAACAATCTGATTCTATATGTTAACACATGCAATCAAATTTATTTATAAATCAATTTCTTTGATTACATATAGTCATTTTTAAATGCTTATTAAATGTCTGTTGTATGAGGGATGTTTTAAGCAATGGATGAAATACAAAAAAGAAAAGCTACATGATTTTGTAATGGTGTTTAAGGAACTGGAGTCACTGCTAACCATGAAACTTACTTTGTTTTGGAAAATATGAATAAAATAGTCAACGTGTAATGAAGAGTTTTAGAATTAAGGTTTTGTGGCTAGTGATTTTTTATTTCATTATACAAAATCAGTAATCCAATTGGTGAACAGTATATACTGTGGCTATTTTCTTCAGTCTCAAAATAATTTTTTCATTTCCCTCAAATTCAGTATATTTTCTTTTTGTATTTTTTTTTGCAGCCAAAGCCTAACCATTGAAATTCTAGAAAAAAAGTTGTTTTTGTTGTTGGTCTCTGGATATTATATAATTTCTTTGAGGCACTGAACAGGACATAAATAAGTTCCAGATTTGAATTTATTTGTTGGAGTGACTAGGTGCCTAAGTAAAATGGAAAATGATATAGAAAAAAATGGGCCATACTAATAAATTATTGGTGATTAGGATTATCTCAGGCTAGATAACTTTTATATCTAGAGGACAGTAAAATATTTTTGTGAATGGTATTTAACTTCTTAAAAAACTTTTCTCTCCAAAAATAAGGCAAAAACACTACATTTTAAATTTTGAGCAGTAAATCTGAATGTTCTAGGTTTTATTTTACATTCCTTTCAGTAGTGATAATGATGACATTTTTACAAGTTCTTCGAATAATAATCTGAGATATTACATTGTTTGAAAATAAAAGAATTTAGATTGTAAGATATTTTCTTAAGGACTATTGAAACCATTTATTTTGGTTAAATTTGATTTTTTCAAATTTTTTTTCTTCTTTATGGCACAATCAACTATATTTAAAAAAAAAAAAGAAAAATATTCTGCAATTTGAGCACTGATTTTTGAGTTTTAATAGGGCAATGACTCACTTCCCATAACTCTTCTGCTATATTTTTGTATTTTACTATAGAATATAAAATGTGGGGCTGGGGATTTAGCTCAGCGGCAAAAAGCGCCTGCCTGGCAAGCTCAAGGTCGTGAGTTCGGTTCCTGGTACCGGAGAAAAAACCAAAAAAAAAATAAATAAATAAATAAATAGAATATAAAATGTACATGTCTGATTAGACAAAATTTACCCATTTGTCTGACTGTTTTCCTCTTGTAGAAATTTATTAGATAAAGGAAGGGAAGGACTGACTTTTTAAAACTTCTACTATGCCTTCTCCCTGAAACTCTCAAGTCGATCTGTCCATCAATATCTAAATGTCAAGACCCAGAACTGTATCTGTTAAAAACATGTCTGCTGCATTTATAACTCTTTGAATCTTTTAAAGGTGACTTTGTGACAGATTAGACAGAAAGCATCTTTGTACCTCCAAGCAGAGGTTAAATTGATAGTATTTAAAATAAATGAACAATTGAATAAGAATTACAAAGTTTCATAATAATAGTTATAGGATTTTGTAATGGTGTTTAAGGAACTGGAGTCACTGCTAATCATCAAACTCACTTTGTTTTGGAAAATACGAGTAAAATAGTCAACGTGTAATGAAGAGTTTTAGAATTAAGGTTTTGTGATTACTGGCGTTTTATTTAATTCTATAAAATCAGTAATACAATCGGTGAACATGTAGTATACTGTTGCTATGTTCCTGACTCTAGTCACTGCTATCATCCTTCGTTTTAGAAAATAAGAGTAAAGTAATCCACATACAGTTGAAGTTTTAGAATTAAGACTTTTTTGGCGAGTATTAATCAGCACTAAGGGAAATAATACAAACATTTTCTTTTTTAACATAGGCCCAGTAAAAAATATCAGAACTTAATATTAAAAATTTTGAGTCTTCTTCTTCTATTTTTTTTTAAACCTGTAACTTTTTTGGGTCTATTTCAAGCACTAGGTCGATAGGGGCTGTATCTTGCATCGCCGTGAATGATACCTTGCCAGAGAGTTTACTCAAAACTGCTTGCTCCGGCATAGTCCATGAAAGTTGCTAATAGCTATTCCTATATGAGAAGCTGTAAAATGTCTTATATAAAATTTAATGCAGTTTGCTGTTTTTATATGTGAGCATGATTTGTTTAAAATGAAACGACCAGAAAAGTGATGCTTCATGCTCCACCATACTTGCCAATTAACTAAAATGATTTGAAGCTTGCTATGCTGACTACAAATTTTATGTGCTTTAATATAATAATATAATAACTCTAAAAGAGAAAATTAAAATAAAATGCCACAGGGAGCATAAATCTCACTATAACTTTACTTAACACTGATCAAACTTACTGCTTCTAAATTTTTACATAAGGTTAAATTTATATTGGTGCATAATTATAGCCTTAAATGTTAATATAAATATGGTTGTTAATATTGTTTTATCTGACATTTCATAGCACAGCTTCGTTTTTAATGTTAAGTTGAGTATTCTGTCTTATTTTCTTCATTGTCATCTTTTGGTGTTGGAAGCAGTTTCCTTAGGAAGCAGTGCATTATTACTTGAAAAATCACTTTTTATTGTTTTACATTCTGAAAACTTAATCTTTTA